TTTAGGTTTTAGGGTTTCGGATCTAGGGTTTAGGGTTTGGGGGGCCTTCAGCAGGGCTCTGTGTTGAACAGCCCCCCAAATAGGGCAGCCATACTTTAGAGGCTACTCACTTAAGCCTCCTCCTCCAAGTCAGGATGGGCTCCCTATGGGTGGTTGTCAAAATTATGGTCCCTTTTGGATCCCTCTTATAATACGGCACCTAATATTTAGGGCACCCCAAAAGGGATCATAATTTTGACAGCCACCCTATGAAGCTTTCGGAAGCCCTGTTTAGGACGTTTAGGCCCCTAAGCCCTTCTTGGGTGTTCATGGTACTAAGTTTAATGGGGTTTGGGGTTTAGGGTTTAGGGTTTAGGGTTTAGGGTTTAGGGTTAAGGGTTTAGAGTTTAGGGTTTAGGGTTTAGGGCTATAGCACAACTACATGTCCCCCAAGTCTGGCTGCCTAAGTTGAAGTTTATGTTCTCAGTCCGTTTGATATCTTGATACCAGGCACGACGAGCTCTGAACCTTCAAGGAGACCCCTAAACCCTAAACCCTAAACCCTAAACCCTAAACCCTAAACCCTAAACCCTAAACCCTAAACCCTAAACCCTAAACCCTAAACCCTAAACCCTAAACCCTAAACCCTAAACCCCAAACCCCAAACCCCAAACCCTATACCCCAAGCCCGAAACCGCGGGGGCTCCGGCTGCAAGAGGCTGGAAGGGCGGCGGCGGCAGGGACGACTTCGGGGGTGGCGGTGGCGGCAAGGGGGCCTACCCGCCCCCTGGCGGCCGCGAGGGTGCCTCGGAGCAAAGTTTAGGGTTTAGGGTTTAGGGTTTAGGGTTTAGGGTTTAGGGCGGATGTTATCAGGGCTGAGGGTGAATAGTTCCCTCAAGCACTGAACCCCAAACCACTTAAAACCCTCAAACCCTTGACTTCTCCAAGCCCTTCAATCCCCACGCCCTTGTTTGCCTAGACGTATGCAGTTCAGGTTTAATGTTCGGGATGTAGGAAGGATTCCTAGAATATGAGATTTTTGGTGGGGGTATCTTAGAATCTTAGAAGCTAAGGTTTAGTGTTTGTAGCCTTCTTCTGGGGCTCCGAGAATGTTTGTGGATCTTTGGTTGGGGTGTCTTAGAAGACCCTCGTTGGGAGAGCTGCTCGCACTACAGTGAGGTCATATCCTCAAAGCCCAACAGAGCAGGTACATAGGGCCCGCAGATAGACGCCCATCCTTAACCCCTAAACCCCCTAAACCCCTAAACCCCCTAAACCCCTAAACCCCTAAAACCCTAAAGCCCCTAAAACCCTAAAACCCTAAAACCCTAAAACCCTAAACCCCTAAAACCCCTAAATCCCTAAGCCCCCTAAACCCCTAAAACCCCTAAAACCCCTAAACCCCTAAAGCCCCTGAACCCCTAAATCCCTCAATCCCTCAATCCCTAAAAACCCTAAAACCCTAGACACCCTAAAACCCTAAACCCTAAACCCTGTCTAAGCCCCAAGAGCTTCGCCTAGGACCCATCGACCTCGACCCACCCGCACCAGGTCGGTGCTTTAGGGTTTAGGGCTTAGGGTTTAGGGTTTGGGGTTTAGGGTTTACGGTGTAGGGTTTAGGGTTTAGGGTTAGGGTTTAGGGTTTAGGGTTTAGGGTTTCGGGTTTAGGGTTTAGGGTTTCGGGTTTAGGAGTTCACCTCGTGGTTCCGAGTTGAGGGCTAGAGCGAGCGTTAATGTTTGTAAAGTGGGTTTAGGGGGTTCGGGTTTAGGGTTTTGGGTTATGGTTTAGGGTTTAAGGTTAGGGTTTAGGGTTGGGGTCTAGAGGTTTAGGGGTTTAACATCGGGGATTGCGGGTTACAGAGTTTAGGGTTCAGGGTTGATTGTCTGGAGAGTCTGGGGCTCGCGGGATTTAGGTTGTAACTAACTGGGCCTTTCCCTGGAGAATCCCAACGGTTAACCGTGGCGGGTCTGGGGAAGGCCTACAAGGAAACACCAAGACATTTCGACCCTCAACCTTCGTGCCCCCTGAACCCTAAGCCGCCTAAACCCGAAACCCTAAGCCCTAAGCCCTAAACCCTCCCTCGAATGCCCCTATCCTGCCAGCCGCTGCGGAGCCCGAGCCGCCAAAGCGGGCGCGGGGAAGGCCGGGGTTTGCTGTGGTGTTGTTAAGCTTAGGGTTTAGGGTTTAGGGTTTAGGGTTTAGGGTTTAGGGTTTAGGGTTTAGGGTTTAGGGTTTAGGGTTTAGGGTTTAGGGTTTAGGGTTAGGGTTTAGGGTTTAGGGTTTAGGGTTTAGGGTTTAGGGTTTAGGGTTTAGGGTTTAGGGTTTAGGGTTTGGGTTTAGGGCTTAGGGCTTAGGGTTAGGGTTTAGGGTTTAGGGTTTGGGGTTTGGGGTTTAGGGTTGAGGGTTTCGGGTTTAGGGTTTAGGGTTTAGGGTTTAGGGTTTAGGGTTAGGGCTCAGGGCTCAGGGCTTAGGGTTTAGGGTTTAGGGTTTAGGGTTACGGCAACATGTCCGAGAGGGGTTAGCGGTGTCATTGCTTATGAACCCATGTCGTGGCAGAGTAGGCTCCCCTCCACATTCCACTCGTGTCTTGTCCCGTACCGTCAGGCGCACATCCGCTGCAGTGCTGTCTAGTGCTTGAGGTACCTAAATGCCTCATATCGCTCCACCAAGAGAGTCTAGCGGTGCGCAGGTAAAACCTGCGATTCCTACACGCCTCTCTCTTTTTCGGCAGTCCTACCTCGTTTCTGATGCCACATCCACGCTCCCCCCCCCGCCCTTACTGAAACAAAATGGACAGGCTTGGTGCAGGTACATGTGCCACAGCCCAGACCACCGCATTTACCCAATGCCAGAGGATTGCTCCAGAACGTTCCTTCAACAGCTCCTCCATCTTGCGCCCGGTTTCGGCGATGGCCTGACGATTGCGCCAGGTTCTTTCCCGCCATACGGACAGGCCGCGGGCAACACATTGCACGTGTCAAAGAAAACCTGCGACTTGCAACACAAACCCTGAGCCTTGAAGCACACCTAAACCTTAAAGCCAGAACCCCAAAACCCGTAACCCCAAACCCTAAACTCATTTTTAAGGATTCTGAACCCTGAGCCCTATGATTCCCTAGACCCTTGTTAGAGAAAACCTGCGACTTGCAACACAAACCCCGAGCCTTGAAGCACACCTAAACCTCAAAGCCATAACCCCAAAACCCGCAACCCCAAACCCTAAACCCATATTCGATCTAAACAAAGATTCTGAACCCTGAGCCCTCTGATTCCCTTAGGGTTTAGGGTTTAGGGTTTAGGGTTTAGGGTTTAGGGTTTAGGGTTTAGGGCTCGCAGAAGCCTCAACTCTAAATTCGAATACCCCCTTGTCAGGGGTGCGAGCCGGTGGTAAGCGGGCCGCACGCTCAGCTGGTGGAATAGAGGTTTAGGGTTTAGGGTTTAGGGTTTAGGGTTTAGGGTTTAGGGTTTAGGGTTTAGGGTTTGGAGCATGAAGGGTTTCTAGGCACCCCCGCGGAGGGTCACGGGTCCATCGGATCGTTGTTTTTTGGGGGGCGGGACGAAGACTGATGCAGGTGTTTGGGGTTTAGGGAGTTGTCTTGAAAGCGCTCGTAAAACCTCCACCTCAAACAACCTCATGTAGCCCTCAACCCTGGACCCCAACCTACCCTGAGCTCTGAACCCTGCCGTTATGCCCCAGTCGCGAGTGCCCAAATGCAGCATTATACATCCCTATGAAGGTCAACATAACCTTCAACCCTAGAGCATCCTTGGTCTCCTCTATATACTATCCAGCCAGAGCCGCCTGCAGAGATGCTAGACGAAATGGCGGCAAGAATCCTGACAGCGAAGGCACAGTCTAAAGACGAGGAAGGCATGTGAACCATGGCTTATATTTCTGTTATTGGTGAGTGTATATAAGGTTCCGTCTTAAAATTGGTGAGTGTATATACCTTGGGTGTCCTTTTGGGGGTACAAGAAATAGAAACCCTTCATCATGTGGTTTAGGGTTTAGGGTTTAGGGTTTAGGGTTTAGGGTTTAGGGTTTAGGGTTTAGGGTTTAGGGTTTAGGGGACGAGGAGAGAACGGATGAGGTGGACATCGTAGCAGCCAAAGGATGTGCAGGTTCCCCATGGTTTAGGGTTTAGGGTTTAGGGTTTAGGGTTTAGGGTTTAGGGTTTAGGGTTTAGGGTTTAGGGTCAGGCCCAGCAAAGGGTTTATGGTTTAGGGTTTCGGGTCTAGGGGTTTAGGGGTTTAGGGGTTTAGGGGTTTTGGGGTTTAGGGGTTTAGGGGTTTAGGGGCTTAGGGGTTTAGGGGTTTAGGGGTATAGGGGTTTAGGGGTTTAGGGGTTTAGGGGTTTAGGGGCTTAGGGGTTTAGGGGTTTAGGGGTTTAGGGGTTTAGGGGTTTAGGGGTTTAGGGGTTTAGGGGTTTATGCATGCTATCCTTGCGGACATCCCAGGCGCATCCACGGCTGAGATAACTAGCCCTTTAGCTAGGGTGAAAGAAAACAGAAGACCGACCAAAATAATTATCTGCCTCGGGCCCCGCGCCTTCGGCGGTAGTAAGCATTCCAGCGCTGCTGTGGGCTGGTTATCTCTTGACTATACACTACAGGTTTAAGAGGCGGATCATATCGGGACTTTGCAAAGTGTTCAAATGTGGCTGCACCAAGTGTTTTCAAGAAAAGGTGTCTTGCTGACTTCTGAAAAGCCAGTGGAAAGACTGAAAGTCCAGGAACATCTTTATAACAGTCGCACCAGCTCAAGTGTTTGCCACGAACCAAACTCCAGGGGAGGTTGAGCTCCTTTATGATATACTTGAGGCTGTGCAAGAAGATCGTGACTTGCTTGTTGAATGCTGGCCTATGAAGCAACAAAGGTTCATGCTGCGTTTCATGTAACCAGGCCACAGGTATGGCACTGCGCCATTTAGAAGGCTGCTGCTCCAACGGCCAACTTCCAACGTTTACTGGGGAAATCCAGTTGGTTTCTGAAACAAAAATCACATAGAGCTCTGCCAGACTTATCGGCGATATAGCAACACACCAGCTTTGTCCTTGAAGAAACTCATGAAGTTTATATAGGAAAGGCGGCGAAAGAATAGTATCATTGTACATGCGGGCCACAGGCCAGTGGATGTCAATGACTGCACCAACCTCGACATGCAACTGCCTTTCAGGAACCACAGGCACAGATTGTAGCTGCTTTGAGTGAGTGCCCCTGCTAAGTTGCAAAAGATTGGACTGCAGGTTCGCGACTTGCTTTGCTGTACCGTGTAAACGCATATACGCTTGCTGAGCCAACAAGTGAAGACGAAAACCAGGCTGCGTCTGATCCCTTTGTACTGCCTTTGCAGCCTCATCTGCTTGTTCATTGTAATAGGCCGTCCATGCTGCAAAAGGCGTGTCCTGCATACGAAAGTCCCTGTGCGATTCCACATGAACAATTTGCCACTCAAAATGAAGCTTCGATTGCAAACGTGCCCATAAGAAACGCCAAAGGCCGAGGTTTTTCTGTTTACTCCAGAATGCTTCTGACCAACCTTCTGCCAGGAGCCTTTTGACACCTCGCACCACACCCAACGCATCGGAAAAGATCCATGCACCAGGAGCACACTGGATGGCCACTGCTACAGCGTAAAGTTCCGCGCGAAAATTTGTCTGCCTACCTGGAAGTTGTCCCACCTCGTAGATGGCTGCTTCCAGCTTTTCAGGGTCTGCTAGGACAACCGACCAGGTACATCGTGGAATCTCTGCACCATTGTACGTGGACCCATCGGTAAAAAGACATACCCGACGATCGAAAAACTCATAAAAGGTTTCAAGCTTCAACGACTGTGTGTACTTATGCCATTCTGCAATCGCCAAGGGCTGCTTGAAAAGCATTTTTTCCAACTGCAAACACGGCAATGTCTTCAAGGCCACTGTGTCAATCTGATCTCGCGCTGACTGCGTACCCGGACATTCAACCAACCTATGTCGTTGGGTATCTTCTGCTCCGCAATGTTTGCACAACGAATCGCCAACAGCAAGAAAATGTTTTTTCTGTCCGGTTGTAAGCGCCGCCCCGGATGTGAAATTGCCCAGAGCACTAAGTGGCACTCCTGAAGAGCGCCTGAGCTTAGACGACAATCCAAAGTCAATCGACGCAAGCTCTTCGAAACCTTTCTTGTTCTGAAGGCTACATGCCACATACTGAAACCAATCTGCAAGCGCTTGCTCTCGGAACGCCTCTACGTCACTAAAGGCCACATGCAACGTGTTTGCAGATGTCCGTATCAGCAACCCCTGGCATGGTTCCCAGCCGACCATTTTCAACAGATCTTGGAAGTTTAGGGGTTTAGGGGTTTTAGGGGTTTAGGGGTTTAAGGGTTTAGGGGTTTAGGGGTTTAGGGGTTTAGGGGTTTAGGGGTTTAGGGGTTTAGGGTTTAGGGGTTTAGGTGTTTAGGGGTTTGCGGGTTTAAGGGTTTAGGGGTTAGGGGGCATCGTGATTGTGGCAGACAATCTCTGGAAGCGTGCGAACAGCACTTGCGCATCAACCACTATTGGAAGGGGCGGGTATCCTTGAAAGCCCAAACCTGAAAGCGGAAGGTCTGATCAGCGGCCGGCAGGGAAACACGTATGACTCCCACCTAGTACTAAAAATTCCTTGCGCGCAAAAAACTGCAGTAGCAGTGCCTCGTATTAGCGGGTAGGGGGTTTGTAATATATAGCACATATATATATATATGTATATACATATATAAGGGTTAATCTCTTAAGAGGCAAGGCCCACAGGGTTTGGGGCTCTTTCCGAAGAGATTCCTAAACCCTAAACCCTAAACCCTAAACCCTAAACCCTAAGCCCTAAACCCTAAGCCCTAAACCCTAAACCCTTAACCCTAAACCCTAAATCGCCGAGGCGCGGCGCGCGCGGCTCTCTCTCGTCTCACCTCCGACGGACATGCCGGCTGCGCCGGGCCAGGCTTTGGTTTTCCTAGGCGCCCGCAAAGGCCCTCCACACGCAAGCCTAAACCGTTGCCCTAAAGCCCCAAGACTTGAACCTTAAAATTCTAGCCTTCTAAGCCCTAAACTCCCAAACTCCCAAACTCCCAAACTCCCAAACTCCCAAACTCCCAAACTCCCAAACTCCCAAACTCCTAAACCGTAAATCGTCCCAAGGGTCCAGAGATCTGGAAGTCCCAACAGGTAGAGCTCAAACTCATGGCTCGGGTAGATTGCCCGGAAATGATTATCTCTAACTTACAGCCTTTCATTAAATCCTTCCTTCACAAGAAATTCTTGTAGGCTTGGGTAGCCCAGTGGTGCCCTTACCATTTCTCTTGGTTCCGGGTTCCCTTGTAAAGTAATCAGCAAAAGGGGGTGCCCCTTTTATGATGTGGTTGCTGGTCTACTAAACGGCTCATAGACGGTTCCTCAAGAAACGGGTATTTAGAGGCTCTAGGCGCGCCATGAGCACAAAGACCTCTGATCTGCGACGGTTTGCGAGCCGCGGTGCGCGCGTGTCAAAAAGTCTGGCGGGGGCTTTGTCGCAGTGCGGGGTCAAGAAGCCCCGAAAGCCCGAACGGACCCAGCAACAGCCAAAACATCTGAAGCTCCTGAAGCCCTGCAACTCTCAATTAAACCCCATCAGCTTCGCCTGCTGCGCCTTCTTTCAAAGCGATTGAAGCTTAGGGATCAGTTGGGGCCAAGATATAGACCCCAAAGTAACCTGATGGGGTTCCAACTGGGTTTCGCGATCAGTCATAATTGGGTGATGCGTACAATCACCCTAAACCCTAAACCCTAAACCCTAAACCCTAAACCCTAAACCCTAAACCCTAAACCCTAAACCCTAAACCCTAAACCCTAAACCCTAAACAAGAAACCCTAAACCCTAAACCCTAAACCCTAAACCCTAAACCCTAAACCCGAAACCCTAAACCCTAAACCAAAAACCCTAAACCCTAAACCCTAAACCCTGAGTAGGACTAGGTGCGCGGGAGTGGGTGCACACGAAGTTTTAGGGCGAAGGGACCACTGTCCCAAAACCTCCTCACCCGGCCCTGTGAAGCAATATAGGGGTCGGAATTATGACTGATAGGGCTGATAGGGTTTAGGGTTTAGGTTTTAGGGTGAGGGTTTAGGAATAGTTGCTAATCGTATTCCCTTATCTCCCTTTATGAAGATACTGTAATGGCCCCGAAAACCCTGTTCTAATGGTTAAGGCCCCTCTACTAGGCACCTGAGAATTCCCTACATGCGCCCTTCGCAGGGGGTATGTTTGAACAGAAAGGTAATTGTTTGCCCTTAGAATCCTCATAAAGCCATAAACATGTAACTTATATAGGGGCCCCAAAGCTACCCCAGTTCCGCGGATTCCTACCGAACCTATTCCCTTCCTTCCGTACTAGGAACCAGGAACAGACGCCCAAACTGCCGCAGCCTCTCTCTCCGTGGGGGTTGGGGGGGCACGTTCTCGCGGTTCTCGCGGAGCCGAAAACAGTGAGGCCGAAGGGTTGTTGCGGGCAGATTTGATTTCAGTGAGCCTGTCACGTGTCACCCTAAACCCTAATCTCTAAACTCTCAACCCTAAACCCTAAACCCCTAGGGGGGGGGGGCCCTGAACCCTTGGAGGCCCTTCCGTCGAGTTTAGGGTTTAGGGTTTAGGGTTTGAGGTTTAGGGTTTGGGGGTTGGGGTTCAGGGCTCTCCCCCCGCAAGGAAAAGAAAGAAACTTCACCTAGCTCATGGTTGTGCTACCTGTATGTGTTGCCTAAACCCTGAACCCTAAACCCTCAACCCTAAACCCTAAACCCTAAACCCTAAACGGTGTAGGAACAAAGCCAGTCCTTGAAGTCCCTTCGTGTGTTTTGGTCCAGTTGAGGGCCCCCGGGCCGAGGGTTTAGCCCCTAAACCCTGAACCCTAAGCCCCAAACCCTAAACCCTAAACCCTAAACCCTAAACCCTAAACCCTAAACCCTAAACCCTAAACCCTAAACCCTAAACCCTAAACCCTAAACCCTAAACCCTAAACCCTAAACCCTAAACCCTAAACCCTAAACCCTAAACCCTAAACCCTAAACCCTAAACCCTAAACCCTAAACTTAAATTCTGCACAACGGCTCAGGCAATGAAGTGCCAGAGTTTGATTCTGGTCGCAGCCGGCTTCCTAGGAACAGGGCTTAGGGTTAAGGTTTAGGGTTTAGGGTCTAGGGTTTAGGGTTTGGGGTTTAGGGTTTAGGGTTTGGGGCTTTGGGCTTAGGGCTTAGGGTTTAGGGTTTAGGGTGTCTGCTTCCCAGGAACGGGGACGGGCGAGGTCCTGTGGATTGAGGGTTTCGGTTTAGGGTGCCGTTCCTTTTTGGTTTGGCGTGCCAGGGCCCCAGCATGTTTTGGACCCTAAGACCCGACGCCCGAAACCCGAAACTCGAAACCCTGGTTTAGGGTTTAGGGTTCAGGCCCTAGAAACCCTAAACCCGAAACCCTAAGCCCTCAAACCCCACAGGTTTAGGATTCCCTAAGCTCTGACACTTCAAAGTCTTGAGCAACTCCATCTTCGGGATCATGGCTTCATGTCGCACACCCTCGCCTACCCCCGGAAAAGCCCCAAAGCCGGAACCCCAGATAGCCTCACTCTTATACATACCCAAGGGGGGTTCAGGGGGGGGGGGGGGGGGGGGGGTTTAGGGTTTAGGGTTTCGGGTTTCGGGTTTAGGGTTTAGGGTTTAGGGTTTGGGGCTTAGGGTTCAGGGTTTAGGGGCTAAACAGGGGGGGGGGTAGGTACCTACGACCCTGAGGGCGTTGTGGGGAGCATTAGGGAAGCCTCGGGGTTCCTTCGTGCTTCTCTTTTCAGCGGGTGTACTTGGGCCTTGACAAAGTTCATCCTAAGTGCCCCCAGGCCCAAAACCTCCTGAACATCCTAAACCCTAACCCTAAACCCTAAACCCCAACAAAGAACCCCCAAAAACACCAACCCCAAGCAGACCAAGGCCTGCCTCTGCACCGTCGCAGGGGGCAACAGGCTCAAGACAGCCGCGGCCCCTTGAGGGGATTTGGGTTTAGGGTTTAGGGTTTAAGGTTTAGGGTTTAGGGGTTTAGGGTTTAGGGGTTTAGGGGTTTAGGGGTTAAGGGGTTTAGGGGTTTAGGGGTTTAGGGGTTTAGGGGTTTAGGGGTTTTAGGGTTTTAGGGTTTAGGGGTTTAGGGGTTTAGGGGTTAGGGGTTTAGGGGTTTGGGGGTTTGGGGGTTTGGGGGTTTAGGGGTTTAGGGGTTTAGGGGTTTAGGGCTTTAGGGGTTTAGGGGTTTAGGGGTTTAGGGGTTTAGGGGTTTAGGGGTTTAGGGGTTTAGGGGGTTTGGGCTTGAGGGGGTTTGGGCTTTAGGGGTTTTAGGGTTTAGGGTTGAGGGGTTTGGGAGGTCAGGGTTTAGGGTTCAGGGTTTGGGGTGTTAGGGAGGCTTAAGTTTCTTCAGGGTAAGGGGTCGGGGGTCTTTTGTCATTTAGGTTAAGTGTTTTTGGTTTGGGTTTTCCGGGATTACTAAACACTAAGCCCCACACCCCAACCTTCCACAATCTTTACCAAGTCCTTGTGAAGGAAGCCTCTCAAGCAATGGACGGAAGAAGTTGCTGTATAGGCAATGTTATTGAGTTTAGGCTTAACCCCAAAAGGGGGTAGGTTAGGGTGGTTTTGCCGGCTGAGACGGCGTGGGGTGGGATAAACAACTGCATGGCCCTGCACATTCGGACCATGATTGCTCTTCGAATATCACGAAGCATTCGAAGCTAGTCTGCATCTCAACCTTCGCAGCTTCTTCCCCATATCACAGCAAACCTGAATCCTCAGCCCTAAACCGAATTTTGTTCTCCTCGGTTCATCTGCCGCCCAGGCCTTGAACCCTCAAGCCCCAAAAAGCAAGACCTGCCGCAACCTCAAACACGACAGCATATCTTCTCGGAAAGCCGAGGACCCAAAACCCCAAACCACTCCAAATTGCTAACCCCCTAAAACCCATAACCCTGCACACAAAACTCACCCTAAACCCTCTAAGCCTAAACCCTAAACCCCAAACCCTAAGACCTAAACCCCAAGTCCTAAGCCCGAAACCCCAAACCATTGCAAACCCCAAGCCCTGATCCCTTTCCAGGCTCGGCCGCCGTCACCATGGGCAGCAGCCGAGGGCCACCCGGCGCAAGGAAGGGCGGTGGGGTTCGGGCCTCTTTAGCCCGCGCCAAGCTCTAACCTTCCCACCTTAAACCCTAAACCCTAAACCCAAACCCTAAACCCTAAACCCTAAACCCTAAACCCTAAACCCTAAACCCAAAACCCTAAACCCTAAACCCTAA